GAGATTCTTTAGTTAATTTAGAGTCCAACTTTCGTCAGCAAAATTATCGAGACAAATAATATTTTCAAATATATAAATATATGATTAAAATTTTTTTAAAAAACCTACCATATATTAATTACATTAATAAGTAATTAAAATATAAAAGTTTTTCGTGCGCCAAGAGTAAATTTCAGAGAGCTAAATGGATAACAAGTAAATTTAGTTTACTTTGCTAGGATTTTTAAAATTGAAGATTTCATTGTAAAGATATAATGATGCAAAAATATGAAAAGTTGCAGCAAATGATGACATCCCTTGCGACATTCTCGCAATATATAAATAACGTATATCGTAATACTATTTCTATCGCGATTGCCATAAAGTATACACGATAATATCAATTTATGCTTATCAGAGAAGATAGGTCATAAAAAAATGCTAAAAGCATGCAGCACAAGTCGTAATATGCGGTTGCCTTATCGCATAAAAAATAAAAGACAAATGACAAAAATATCTGTTATTTTTGTATCTTACATTGCATTGTTCAGAAAACGCTAAAACATTTCGTAAAACACTTCAAAAATATTAGAATATTGCATGCAAATCAAAAGTATGTTCACCATCTATATTTGAAAACGCGACTTTTAATATGGAATGGTGCGTTAAATTAAAAATCACTTACAATAAGAGTTAGAAAGTAGTCCACAATTTGTCAGAAATAGAACAGTATATCTCTGTTCCTTCTGAAAGATCTATCCACGCATATCTACGCATACGGTTGCCGATAAAACTTTTATGATCGTGACGAAACTTCTTGCTTTCGTAGCATAAGAATGAACAATGATATAATAATCATCGTTCGTTTAATTCTTCAGCGCGCATTCATCTAATGAATAATAAAGTGCAAATGTAATGGTTCGTAACAAATAAAATTTTCTGTGTATGTAATGTATAATTCATTTTTAATACCTTCTCCGCGTTCGGACGTCTTTATATTACAAGTCATAATGTTTGGCAATGATAAATTTTCTTGAAAATAGAAATGACAAATAGTTTTTGCAGATATGAAAGAATTTTTAAATCATTAATGACAATCTTAACAGATTGTGATATCAATGAATTTATTACAAGGTTGGATTTTTGCTGATGAGAAAAAAGATAAAAAAAAGAGATGCAATATGATAATAATTTTTCAAAAACTGATGCGTTAGTTTTAGAAAAGGTTGAAGAATTATATAAAGACCTTCGATATTTATTTCCGTCGTGACAAAAACGAAATCAATAGATCTTTTATGGATTACATTAAATTAGCATTAGTAGGTTCTAAAAAATTATTTTTAGATTATTATTTTAACTTTTAATCAATACAAAAAATTGTGAAGATATTTATTAATGATTTTACAATATTGGACACGACGAAAATTTCTTCGAAACACATCTTTTCAACGTGAAATATTTCTTGAAAGAATGTAAAACTGCAGCCAAATTTTTCCGAGTTGTTCTCGGAGAAACAATAATCGAGCAATAGTCGCAACCGATTTTCGCAAAAACGAAATCCACAGATGTGCGAGGCGAAAACAACGTGGGACTGGGAACCAGAAAGAAGGGAGGGGTGCACGGGGGGAAAGAAGGAGAAAAAGAGGGACCCGGTCCGACGAGTCGCCGCCACGTGAAAGTGGGTTCCAACTTTCGTGATCGAGCCACGTGATCGCGAGATTGCATGCCCCCCGCCGCCGTGACAAGGGCGAAGGAGGCGACGAAAAGGATCCAGATGGGCCCCGGGATCTCGCGCTGGCCTCGATTGTTTCGTGATCGCAAAAGTGGGAAAAGAAGTGAAAACAAGCGAACAACATCGCCGAAAGGGACGATTTGCGGAAAACCGAAGAAAATTACCTTGTAATCGAAGAGTCGTGCAACTCGATTATGGAGACATTTTATGTAAGTATTTCGCGAACTTGTTTTATGCAAATATCGCACGAATAAAATGTAATGTCTTCTTTAGTTACGTTTTAAACCGGATTTGAGTGAGATTTAATAATCACTATAATTGTCACACGATACAAAGTAATGAAAATAGAAAAAAAACTATTTTACAACATTCATATATAATGTACCATTAAAATATAGAATAATATTAACCATTTAAGTCTCATGTACCATATACAATACATAAATAAATGTTAAACAATATTAAATCTAATATTGTTTCATTTATTTATCATGGAAATTTGTTTCATGAAAATAAAATCTTATAACTGTTCCGTAATAATAAATAGCCTAAATTAAAATATAATTTTTTAACAATACAATCTACTTCAAAATTCTAATAATGTATAAGTCAAAGAATTTTCTAAAAAATTCCCAAACTCTCTGATACTCATTGTCAAACAGATAAAGATATATAATATAATCTTTAAAAAGCAATGAAAGCTAAATACACGAAGACCAAAAACTGATCGTAAGCTGAACTAATTACAATCGCGTGAAATCTGCGTAATTGCGACAGTCGCATCTGTCAGTCGCCGAGTATGTGCGTGCCCGCAACATGCGAGTTAGAAAGGTCAGCTGACGGGCGACGGCAAGTGAACGCGTCGCGTTATCAGGTAAGCAAAAAAAGAGTTCGCGCGACTTTCGACGGCAAAAAATGTAAACAGAGTTTAGAGTAAGCTAATCGACCGAAGTCAACGTGCTCTTTACACACGCAACGTATTGAATATGTAAAGAGCACGTTGACTTCGACCAACAGTTCTTAACAAAATTTTTGTTTATACTGTTTTCCAGAATTGTTTTTAAGAAAAGTTTTACATTAAATCTTCATGAAAGAACAGTCTTTAAATATAGCAAAGATAATAATTATCAAAACTAAATTCAGTCATTAAAAATATTGCTGTGATCAAACATTTTATCAACAATTTATCTGCTATCGGAGTTTTCTATATTTTCCAAATTTTCCTATAAATATAAATCAACATTTTTATGAATATAATTTGTAACTATGATAAATTTTACAAGAACGTCTACAAAATGAATAAATTGTACTTTCAAAATAGTAAGAATTTCTAAAGTTAAAAGTTCAAGAGACTTTGCATTTAGAAAATTCATCAAGTAATAAGAGAATTAGCTGAATTCTCCATTACATTTTGAATTTATTCTGAAAACAATTGTGTCCTTTTATTTAATCGCTTGCCTCTTCGACAGACAAACGAAGAAACACCGTTTTGTCGCGAGAAACTCGTTCTCCTTCGCGTCGCGAATTAATTTATCCGGTCATTGATTTATTCTCGAAGGAATTTATCGTTTCCATTTACAGAAAGAGAATAAGAGAAAGAAATTTTTTTAGGTTATAGATAAATTTTTCAACACATTTTTCGATATTAATAAAAATAGAATTGAATTTTTCGTTAAACCTTTTATTTATAAAATTAAAAAATAATATTTTCTCAAACATTTATTAAATATTAACCGTTTATCTGAGAAGTCTAAAACTTTTAGACTCTAAGACTTTTACATATAAAAAATTTCTCTCTCTCTCTCTCTCTCTCTCTCTCTCTCTCTCTTTATTATTATATCGATTCGCAATCGCGAAATTTAATTCGCAAAGCTGAAAATAACTTTATTGAATATTTCGACTTCATAATTTAAATGTTAACAGCTGTATGTATAATTTATATTTGCAATTATTTCATTTTATTTCATACACGAATGATTCATATCGCGTCGACTCTCGATGATTCACATCGCATTGATTCTGAATCCGATATTCTCAAAGCGTTGCGGTTTTGAAAACTCACGGTACAATCGCGTGATAAGCTCAAAATTTTCGCGTATTCGAAATGTTGCGTCGAACGCACGACACGTTCGAAACTCGATGCGTTTGTTAAAATACTGATATGTATGTTGATTTCCTAACCACAAAATATCTTCGTTCATTGTATATTAGTAACTAGAAGATATACAATCTGAACTGATCTACGGTTGACTTCAGTGAGACCTGCTGTTAAAGCGAAGCTAACTTGCCGCGTAACGTATCGTCGTATCGACAAATTCAAATTTGCAATAACAAATATGGCGGCGGTAAGTAGCTCGACTTTCAACAAGAATCAAAGGAGGAAAAAAGCGCGCTGCCAAAGCACACGCGGCTTCCCTGCAGGCACTGTAACAGCACGTGTCACCAAAAGCACGGCGAGAAAAAGCCGGGGAGAGAAAGCACAAAATGTTAGACTCACGTTTTAGCGGTTTGGGGTTGCTCTGCTTACGACGTGACATCCTCTGCGCTCTGCCATCACCCGCTCAGCGTGGACATGTCGCGTTGACGTGGGATGCACAGTGATAGTTTGGCGATGATCACAAGTTGGAGCAGACAGGCGATGGTCAACAATTGGCGACACAGCGCACACGTGCGACAACTTAGAACAGAAAACGATAAGCGACAAGGAAAGGAACAACGAAAGCCACGGCGAGACTAATTGTAAGAACAAGTCACGGGATAGGACGGAATAGCGAAAGGGAGGAGACAGTAAAACGTAAACACTCGATGCGAATATAGCCACGGATTTCGTCCGTACGACGGGAAAGCGCGACACGACGCACGATTACGATTAACGAGACGCCGGTAACACGGCGCTTCCGGAAAATATAGATACACACACCGACTGTGTTCAACCGCGGCCGCTGTCGGCGCGCAACTAAACAAACGTACTGCCAAACACTCTTCTCCCCACTCCCTAGATAGCAGCATGACTACGTGAAGTGCGGTGGGGATGACGAGGCCGGCGGCTACTAGGGATAAATGCTGCTGCCACCTTGTGGAATATCGTAAAGTGAAGAAGAACAGCAACGCGAAACATGTACAATAATTTATCCACAATTTTTTAAAAAACATCGTATTTTATTTATTTTATTAAACATCGTATTTATGTAAAGCGTTTAGCAAGATTTATACATTTAAAATACATTGCTGATTCCTGCCTACATTTTTTCAGCAGTATATCTTGTATTGATCAGTCATTAACTTGACTCGCGGCTTACATTCGGCGTGGCATTGACATGAAGTTTGGACTGTTCCGGCAATGTTGCGAGTGCAGGACGGATCGTCTCCGAAACGAATAATGCTGTAACGCATTTATTAGTAAGTATAATCATAATTAATGTCGTATCGCGATGTTTATTAATCACACAGAGCGTGTATGTTTGACACATACATGTTGATGGCTCATCAAAACGCAAATTTTGCGTCATGTAATTCATGGGCCATCGCGCCCATGAAGTCAACAAGTCGACATCGCCAAGTAGTCGACAAAAGCAATAACTGTTTTCGAATATTACTTTCTGCGATACCCGGACAGTATGCATTTCTTAAAGACATATGAAAGATATCTTAAAGACATCATTTTTTAGACATCATTTAGATGTCTGTTAGATGTCGTTAAGACATGCGTGTATTGTCTGGATATCCATCTTTCTGACTTCATCTCGTACATTTATTCACTTTATGTCATACGAAACAATAAAATGGTCTAAACACAGACGAACATATAAGCATGTATATATTATCATTGATTTGTTTCTTCCAGGTGTGAAAAATGCAAAGTGTAAATAGAAGCAATCAATGCAGTGTTGCCACAACAGATAGTGCGCGAAGTTTTGATTTCTCCAATCATTTATTCGAATTGCGAATATTGTACGGATCATCGACTCCGTATGTTTTCGTTGTTTGAAGAATAATTATTTGACAAATATTAATTACTTTGTCGTAATCCAGACAGCACGAAAAAAGGAGGAAGCTCAGTCGACATCGCACAACAGCGGAACAACAATAAGGTAATATATTTCTTATTTATTATTTGTTTCTTAATTATTTATCTTTTCTTCTCAGATCAACCGTATTAATAACAGATTTCTGAGATCAATTAGAGACAAGAATTTTTATACCCTAATGTCGAAACTATAGCAATGTTTAAATGGAAAATATTTAAAGTTAGCTAATCAGATTGTCTAAATAATCTCAGGATTATGCTATTAATAGGAGTAATATGATTGGTCTGGTATACATTGTATGTGTGAATCGATAATTATTATTTATATTTATACAAGTATTAGATTTCTATTTATAATATGATTTATACTATTAGAGATATACTATTTCTACATTGGTATACTTTACATTGGTATTATATATTTTAGTCTACACGTTTTGTTTATATGCGATATACTGCTATATGCTTTGTTTTCTACAAATTTAATTGTTTGATTATTAATTCCCGTATTTAAGCTTACAACAAGCACAGTATCTGCCCAATACTGGTAACCGGATTTGCATTACAGGCGCGATACTGATGTGTATGAAGTTAGCCCCACACTTTAATAAAATTAAAATAATCGAAATTGTACTGCATTGTACTAGTTTTGTACCAAATTGTACCGTAGTTAATTTTTTGAAATCGCGCGCGAATTTCCAAAAAATCGAAATTTTTGAATTTTTTGAGTAGCCCCACACTTTTCGAAAAATAATTTTTTCTCGACTGTACTACATTGTACTAGTTGTACCAAACATTGTACCGTTTGAAAAAAATTTCTAACAAATTTGGATTTTGAGAAAAACGAGAAAATCGAAAAATTTTGGACATTACGTAATTACGGCAAATCGGTTATTTTTTAAGATATCGAAACGCGGCCAACGGGGTTCGAAAGAGAATTGTTTGTACCGGTTTGTACCGCTTTGAATTTCGTTTGCACCTCAACCGGACCGGAAGTACCGAATTTTGCAATTTTTAACAATACGTAAATACGGTAACTCGGCTTATTTTTTAAGATATCGAAACGCGGCCAACGGGGTTCGAAAGAGAACTGTTTGTACCGGTTTGTACCGCTTTGAATTTCGTTTGCACCTCAACCGGACCGGAAGTACCGAATTTTGCAATTTTTAACAATACGTAAATACGGTAACTTGGCCATTTACAAGGCCTACCGAACATTGTTTCGTTAAAAAAAATTCATATCTGTAGGATCTAAAGTATCCGACCTGTCAGATCATACCGATTACACTCATGTTTTTACATAACGACGTAATGTTATAGTTCATTTGATATTGAAATCAAAGCTGCGCCGTATTAAAGTCGCGCCGACCGAAAACAGCAGCGGCACTTCTTTAACGATATGAGCCTTTGTAACAAATGTATTGTAAGATGCAAGCAATAGCATCCGATAGACGGCGCCAGCGGACGGCAGCCGGTTGATCGAGAGCAGCGCCTCGATAAAATAGATCCTGCGCGCACGCATTCCCGCTCCTTATATTTTTATTATATCAAATTGTAACCGATCTAA